TGCGGGGCCTCAGGAGGGCTGGGGGTGATGTCACCGCCCTGCGTGTGCCCTTTGTGACTGGGGCAGTGTGGGCCAGGGAGCTTGGGTGCTGCTGGTGCTGCTGCTGCTGGGGAGGGGAGGGCTGGGGGCTGTTGTGCTTGATCAGCGAGACCCGTGTCAGCTCCTGCATCCTGTGACACACACGCACACTCATCGCACAGGGGAAGGTGGTGGGAGGGGAGAAACTGAGGCACCCCATTCATGAGATAATCCCCCAGCACAGTGACACTGCCCCCCTTTCCTTCTGACACAGCAGGTCTACACAGAGAGATTAGAGAGGGAGAGAGACGCCCAGAGATCGCTATCTGGCTCGCAGGACCACAAGAAAGGATCACACAACTAAAGCACTCCCTCCATCCAGTTTCTGACCTCTGTCTCCAGCACAGCGTCGCTGGGGGGGAGCTGGACGCCATCCCAGCAACCCACAGGCGCAAGGCAGGGTACCCCCCTGGACAGGACGCCAGTCCATCACAGGACACACACACACACACTCGCGCCAGGGCCAGTTTTCCCAGCAGTCCGTTAACCTCCCAGCATGTCTTTGGGCTGTCTGGGAGGAAACCCACACAAACGGATGGAGAGCATGCAAACTCCACACAGACAGCACCCAGGGGCCCCAGCGCTGTGTGCACTGCGCCAGCAGGCCGTCTGTCACGCGTTGAGTGTCTGCGTGGCCACATCACTGGATATTACTGGGTTTGCTGAGCTCTGTATCCGGTGACCCCACACTCAGTATTGACCCCTGACAGCCCGTGGATCTCTAACTAGCGGAATGCGCACGGCTTGTTTTCTAATTGGAATGGTTATCTTCACTGAACCTGGCAGAGATCACGCCCAGGCTTTTACAGTTGGAATCCGATTGGAATAACCCAGATGGAAAAGCTCGTGAAAGGCTTTTGAGAGCAGGATATGCCAGGAGATGTTTCCATTAGGGTGCACTTGACCATGGGTTTTAAACAGCAGAGAGACTGGGGGAGGGGAGAGACTGGAGCTCTGTCA